CACAAAGAGTCGGACACGACTTAACGACTAAACAACAACAACAACAACTCTCCCTGAGATCTGTTAATGCAGGCTAGTTACAGAGAAAGAAGCAAATAAGAGTTGGGAAAAGAACGGTGCTACAGAACTGGGTTAATAGTTTCTACATGCCACACTCCTCCTGCCATCTTTCTTTTGTGAGATCAAAGGTGCAGCACAAACTGGTAAGCTGACCCCCCAGTAGCTCAGGGGGTGGGGTGGGGGAATGGGAGTGTCAATATTAATGGAGCCGATCTCAGCCAGAGAGCTCTATGGGGGCCTCTGAGAGAGATGCTGGGAGCAAAGCAAGAGGAATATGGCATCTGTTCTGTGGTGCCTTCACCATAGAGGGACTGAAAGGTCCTAAGAGGAGCGCTTCTGCCCAAGACTTTCTGCAATATTTCCACTTCCTCGTGGGCCCTGAGTCTACAAACAGCTGCAGAATGGTTTTGACATAAAGCTCCTGTGTTCTTACCTGCATAGTGTTCTGCAGCAGCAGGCACTAAGCCGTAAGTCTTCCCAGCTGTGTAAATATCCTTTCCAGCCAAAACCACAGCATCAATGTCTCTTTTCTGAAAGGAAATTAAAAGGTGTGTGTGGTTGGAACCCTCCCCTTTAAAACTTGGGTGCGTCATGAGGCAAGACTGCCCTCCCTTGTCTCCCCAGACAGCCTATTCAATCCAGTCATTGTAACCTGCTAATAAGTTCCAGAACAAAGTTGCTGTTAGCCCTTCCAGGTAGTCCAGGCACAAAGCACAGCTATGAGTACTAACTCTATCTTTTGCAGGACGGTTGCCTGGTCTGTGGTTCTTCCTCCTGTCTCCCAAGGTCATTCCCACACGCCATTACAGTTGCCAAGGAATCTCAGTACGGAAGGACCAGATCAAGCCTCCCAAGGGGCAATCAGGAGACTGGGCTGGTGGGCTTTCTTGGTATCTGGTCCCAAGGCATCAGCTGCCCTTGTTCTGTGCTGGCCCAGGAAAGAAAGGACTATGAAAAGAGGAAGGGGGTTGGCTCAGGCTATCTAGTCAAGCTTCTGTGATCCCACAGCCAGATCCCCCAGTGGGATTAAGCTCACAAGAAAGAGTGGAAGAGCGCATGGAGTTCTCCCAGCAGCTAGTATGGAGACGCAGTTGATCCTTCCATGACTGATAAGCTCTAGAAACGTTATGCTCCACAGCTATTCTTCCCATGTCAGTCTTTTGAAATAGGTCAGGTCAAGAAACAGGCATGGCGGGGCATGGCATGACAATAATCTTTTCAGAAAAGCTCTTTATTGCTGTCGGGTAGAATAACTGAATCTTGAAAGTCTACCAGACTTTTTCGCTACCCCATTTTAACCCTAACCACATCAAGACGGGGTTATTTTGAGTTTCTTTCTCATGTTTCCATCCTTCTCAGGATAATCATCTTTCCTGAAAGTCCCCCCACTAAAAATTCATTTATTTATTCTCTCTTCTCAAGGCCGGGCCTACATTTCTTCACATCCCATGACTACCTCTCATGGAAGTTACTTGCACACGTTTTCTTTTTGGATGGTTAAGTTTGCCTACCAGTGCCCCATTATTGCACTGAGGAGGCACATCCCCAAGGTTCACACCCACTTAGTGTGAGCCAAGGCTCCCTGGAGCCTACCTGCCCCAAGAAAAAGCAAAAGACACCACACGCGCACACCCCTGGCAAGTGTCCTTGCACAACCTTCCGCTCAGCCTCTCACCTGAATACGTTCCATGCACTGCTCTGGACTCTGGGCTGAAACACACTGGACTTCTGGCTTCAGATTCTGGCTCTTAAAGACGGCGGCCATCTTGCTGCATTTCCAGATCTCCTCTGTTGACAAGACACACCAGCGCAGAAATTCTGGTAACCCTGCATCAAAGGAGGAAGAGAGCCAGCAAAGTCATATGAATGCTTCTTTTAATGCAGAAACAACCGGTTACATCCTTCCAAGCCAGTGGAGACAAACCCTGAGTTCCTATCCCTGCACTAGTCTAATCTAGTATTTTATTTATTTATTTATTCAGTTTATATAGCTGCCCATCTCACATTCGTGATTCGGGGCAGCTTACAATTAAAACATAAACATTACCAAAAAAATAAAACAGCCATACAAACAATATAAATGTTAAAAACAATTAAACCATTTAAAGCCGTACAGGACACTCCCTGGAATCCAATAGTATCCGATAAAACCAGGCCATTGCTTCTCTCCCGGCAAGCAGAAGCGTCAGCAGCAGGATACCTGGTGGGGTCCTAAACATTAAATTCCTAAGTCTGCTGTTGATGTCAGGGCAGCCGGAAAAGAGAACTTGGAGACCATTATGGGAATCCCACTGGAAAAGAGCTTAGAATACTCTCTTGGTGAATAAAAGACAAAGCTCCCTTTTGGGATCTTTACTGTGCAGTAGTCAAGTTTTCTGTTGTCCCCAAACACAGCTGGTCTGCCTTTCTCCCTTCCTCTCTCCCCCGCGCTGCCTCCCTCTTCCTCTTCCACTAGCGCTTCAGGTCGCTAGAGCCAAGAAGACACTTTTTGTCGTAAAGGCAACTCGCAAGACATACTTTTAGGATCACAGTCCAAGCCTCGCATGGCATGCAGATACTCATCTCCCAGCCAAGCCTGGTAGGTCTGTTCCATAATGGGAACCAGTTCCGTGGTAGAGTCTTTAAAGAGAAGGTTTCTCCCTCCATAGGCTGCTGAGTCAAACATCTGGAAGCTGGGGTCTCCACCATTAAACCTTTGCTGTGACATTGAGAGAAAAGCACATCTTCCTTACGAAAACTTCTGAATTCCTGAAGGTAAAGCCACAATATGCTTCAGCTCTGCCATAATCAGGGAAGTCGAAAAGGGGCTGACCAAATGTCAGCGAAAAACCAAAGGCTTCACCAGCCCAGGTCAGCTCCAGCAGCTGTCAGCCCTTGCTCCCCTGCGAGTGAGCGGCAGGACTTTCCTTGGAGCTCGGCTGAAGAGCCAAAGCAGACCTGGTGTGGCCCTCCCTCTCCCTCTCCCTCTCCCTCTGGGGGCTGAGGAGCCAAAGAAAAGAAGGAAAAGCTGTGGTGATGCAGCTGTTGGACTAGGACCATGGAGATCCAGGTCCAAGCCATACTCAGCCTGAAATGCCCTGGCTAACTTGGGGCCAATCATACTCTCAGGCCGACCTACCTCACCAATTGTGCTATGGGGGTAAAATGGAGGGAGACCCCCACGGAAGCTGCCTTGAGCTCTTGGAGAAGGGTGGGATAAGGATCTAGCAGACAAAGGCATAAGTAGAAGGTCCTTTGCACCTTGGAGGAAAGATGGGCAACTTACAGCCTCCAAGCTCCCTCTGATTACCTTACTGAATTTCTAGTGGTACAACTGCTGAAAATCACAAGGTTTCACGGCATTTTATTAATTATTTATTTCCAAACATTCGAAAATAAATTTTCTTAACTCTACATGGCTTACAATCATACATAATAGCAACAACCTATTAAAATCATTGCAAATCAGGGTACCTATAAACTGTTGCCTGCCTACATGGGCCCTCCTTACTGAAGGGCCTCCCGAAGCACCAGTTTTCACCACCTTCCTAAATATTAACAGCATGTGGAGGGAGAGCGAGCTGTTCCACAGGGAGGCCGTGCTCTGAGCCTCTCGGGTGGGAACCTGCATCCCCTCCACTCCTGGCTGGCGGACCAAAAGGTAACACGGAGCCAAGCTGTAAAGGGCTTCGCAGTCACCAGGACTTTGAATCGGGCCTGAACCCTACTGGCAGCAAGGACAGACCCATAGCATAGGTTTGACTCGGCTAAAGTGGTTTCGGCCAATGAACAGGTGGGCCATTACATTCTGTGCCTATGCCAGCAGTAGTTTCTGGATCAACTCCAGGGGCAGTCTATACAGAGCCCACGCAGAAGTCCTAACCAGAAGATGGCAAGGGCATGAGTCACTGCCTTCAGTGTTTGTGGCCATGGCCTCCATCGGCCGCTCTGGCAGGAGCCATGGCTCCAAGAGGTCCCCCATATTGTGCACTTGCAAGGAGAGTGCAAACCCTCCAAAAGCTCCAATCAGAAAATCCTTGAAATTTTCTGTCACAAACACAACAACATTATAGCATATCCCAAACTAGACTAAAAAAGGCAAAGAAGCCCCCTCTCCTTTAAAAAACTGGGGAACCTCCCTGATCTTGGCCCTGCGTGGTGCCATTAATGCAGTCCTGCCCGCTTCGCAGCATCTCACCTATCCCAACCCCAAATTGCAACAGCAGTGGACACTAAGTCGCTGCTCATCCCTTTGATTTCTGGCTGCCATGCAGTTGTTAAAGGCAGCGATGTTGCAAGGGAACACTCTCAGTCGGACCACCGCCTGCTGAATTTGCTTTGAGAACACAAGAGTTCAACAAGAAAATCATATGGTAACCCTGCAATGCATGCTTTCTGTTGTTTCCATCGCTCAACAAGCAGCAACATGCAAAGGCAAGGCAATCATCTACCAAATATCAAAAATTATCAGTATTTCAAACAATAAATGCAATCAGTAATAACGACTTTAAACCAAAAACACGTAATGCTATATATTATCAAATAACATACATTCATCCTATATTCAGATACCTCTCCATACTTTCTCCTCAGTCCCCAAATGCAAAATGAAAGAGCCCTCCTTTCAAAAAACTTGAATGTTAGAATTCTCTGCTATTGCAGCTTCCTGAATGTTAGAAGTGAGGACATGATTCCTACATCAGATGCTTTCGCGCATGTTTTGCGTCTGTCTTCCCACACTGCGATACGTTCATAAGGGTATGAGCCGAGGGGTGGCCAGATGCAGAATCCGAATCACTCTGCATGCCTGTAAGCCAGACAGAGCCTGGGAAAGGCTCACCTGTCCTTGGTTCAGCACTCCAAAGATGAGACTGCCTGCCACGTCCTGCCTGGTGATGACGGCATGAGCGGGGACGCGTGCCAGGTGACATGTCCGCCACTCGGTGACCGCCGCCTGGCTTCCGTCCCGGCAGAGAAGCTGGAATTCCTCCAAGTTCCAGGAAGACAGAGCTTGGCCTGAAATGAGCAGAGTTCAGCCCCAGGACAAAAGGCTGAAGGGGCCTAGCCTCCCCGTCCCTCTCTACACACACACACACACACACCCCACGTGGAGACCAGAGCCAGGTTCCGGGGCAGGCATTTCATAGGTGCTGTTGAAGCCAGTGCATATATCCAGAGATGGGTCATCCCAAGCCCACCAGGGTTAATGCAAGAAGATGAATTATGTGTATTTTAAAATGAAGGTGAAACAGGAAGAAAGTAAGTATACGCCATGTAGAAAACGGCCGCTCCTTTTTTAAACTTAGATTTCTAGGAAGCATCTTATTGCTGATAAAATAGCTGAAACTTTACATTCTGGTTTGGTTTCACATAACTTGCTAAACCCAGGTTTACAAGGCACAATTCCTGTGTTCACATGACGTGCTATACCCAGAATTATCCAGAAGAAGGTGCATCTGTTCTGATAATCGATGTTCAAAGCATGAACACACCTACCCCCAGCCCCCAGTCAGGGACAAATTCCTAGGAAAGCAGATTCCCATCCATCCCCTCGCCAGACCTGGAGAATTGAAATGCAACATAGGCCTGCTCTGGCCGGACTCCCCCCCCCCCCCCCCCCCCCCCC